AGAAAACGGTAACTTTAATGTGCCCTCTCCTAACCTACCAGAGGACGTAAAACAGAAAACGGGCCAGTACGTCACTTTAGCCAGCCGCTTCCATTTTCTGCCAAACAGCCCAGTCGACGGGGAAGAATCCCAGCCCGGGCGAAATCTTCATTTTTCTCAAAACTCAAAATCAAAACCAGCCATAGAATCGTTTTCAAAATGTTACCATTGTGTTTACCGCAATAATTTATTTTTCTTTCTGTTAAGTCTTTCTTTACTAATTATCAATATTAAGGCTTTAACAGCCATATTTACTGAGATACAGCCAACTCAAATATCAAACTTATCATGGTGATTTCTCAACATATTACGAAGGAAAATGAGTTGAAAAACATGTAGTAATACTTATAATGAGTTAAATAAAAAATGGGTATTAAAAATAAAGTAGTTTTAATAATCTTTATTAACTTAGAGATGATTTCGAATGATATTTATGTGTGTATATATTTGGTACTTATAATGGCATACGTTTGGTACTTATAAAGGCATGTGTATGGTACTTATAATGTCAAATGTATGTTACTTATAATGGCATATGTATTGTACTTATAAAGACATGATGGTACTTATAATGACATATGTATTGTACTGATAATGGCATGTGTATGGTACTTATAAAGGCATATGATTGGTACTTATATTGGCCTATGTATGGAACTTATAATGACATATGTATGTTACTTATAATGGCATATGTATGGTATTTATAATGATGTATGTTTGGTACTTATAATGACATATGTATGGTACTTATATCGTCATATGTATGGTAAATATTAGGTCATATGTTTGGTACTTTTAATGACATTTGTATGGTACTTATATGGACATTTGTATGGAACTTATAAGGTCATATGTATTGTACTTATAAGGTAATATGTAAGGTACTTATAAGGTCATATGTATTGTACTTATAAAGTCATATGTATTGTACTTATAAGGTCATATATATGGTACTTATAAGGTCATATGTATGGTATTTATAAGGTGATACGTATGGCACTTATAAGGTCATATGTATGATACTTATAAGGTCATATGTATGGTACTTATAAAATCATATGTATTGTACTTATAAGGTCATTTGTAAGGTACTTATAAGGTCATATGTATTGTACTAATTAAGTCATATGCATTGTACCTATAAGGTCATATGTAAGGTACATATAAGATCATATGTATGGTAACCTCTTAACGTTTCCCAAGAAGAAAACGGTGACTTTAATGTGACCTTTCCTTACCTACCAGAGGACGTAAAACAGAAAACGGGCCAGTACGTCACTTTAGCCAGCCGCTTCCATTTTCTGCCAAACAGCCCAGTCGACGGGGAAGAATCCCAGCCCGGGCGAAATCTTCATTTTTCTCAAAACTCAAAATCAAAACCAGCCATAGAATCGTTTTGAAAATGTTACCATTGTGTTTACCGCAATAATTTATTTTTCTTTCTGTTAAGTCTTTCTTTACTAATTATCAATATTAAGGCTTTAACAGCCATATTTACTGAGATACAGCCAACTCAAATATCAAACTTATCATGGTGATTTCTCAACATATTACGAAGGAAAATGAGTTGAAAAACATGTAATAATAATTACAATGAGCTTAATAAAAAATGGGTATTAAAAATAAAGTCATTTTAATAATCTTTATTTACTTAGTCATTATTTCGAATGATATTTATATGGGTATATATATGGTACTTATAATGGAATACGTTTGGTACTTATAAAGGCATGAGTATGGTACTTATAATGGCATATGTATGGTACTTATAAGGTCATATGTATGGTACTTATAAGGGCATTTGTTTGGCACTTATAATGTCATATGTATGGTACATATAAGGTCATATGTATGATACTTATAAGGTCATATGTATGGTACATATATAGTCATATGTATGGTACTTATAAGGACATTTATATGGTACGTATAAGGTCATATGTATAGTACTTATAAGGTCATTTCTATGGTACTTATAAGGTCATATGTATGATACATATATAGCCATATGTATGGTACTTATAAGGACATTTGTATGGATACTTATAAGGTCATATGTATGGTACATATATAGTCACATGTATGGTACTTATAAGGAGATATATATGGTAATTATAAGGTCATTTGTATGGTACATATAAGGTCATATGTATGGTACTTATAAGGTCATATTAAGGTACTTATAAGGTCATATGTATGGTACATATATGGTCATATGTATGGTACATATAAGGTCATATGTATGGTACTTATAAGGTCATTTACATGGTACTTATAAGGTCATGTGTATTGTACTTTTAAGGTCATATATAAGGTACTTATAAGGTCATATGTATGGTATATATAAGGTCATATGTATGGTACTTATAAGTTCATATGTATGGTACTTATAAGGTCATATGTATGGTACTTATAAGGTCATATGTATGGTACTTATAAGGTCATGTATGGTATGTATAAGGTCATATTTATGGTACTTATAAGATCATATGTATGGTAACCTCTTAACGTTTCCCAACGTCAAGAAAACGGTAACTTTAATGTGCCCTCTCCTAACCTACCAGAGGACGTAAAACAGAAAACGGGCCAGTACGTCACTTTAGCCAGCCGCTTCCATTTTCTGCCAAACAGCCCAGTCGACGGGGAAGAATCCCAGCCCGGGCGAAATCTTCATTTTTCTCAAAACTCAAAATCAAAACCAGCCATAGAATCGTTTTGAAAATGTTACCATTGTGTTTACCGCAATAATTTATTTTTCTTTCTTTTAAGTCTTTCTTTACTACTTATTAATATTAAGGCTTTAACAGCCATATTTACTGAGATACAGCCAACTCAAATATCAAGCTTATCATGGTGATTTCTCAACATATTACGAAGGAAAATGAGTTGAAAAACATGTAATAATAATTATAATGAGCTTAATCAAAAATGGGTATTAAAAATAAAGTCATTTTAATAATCTTTATTTACTTAGACATTATTTCGAATGATATTTATATGGGTATATATATGGTACTTATAATGGAATACGTTTGGTACTTATAAAGGCATGAGTATGGTACTTATAATGGCATATGTATGGTACTTATAAGGTCATATGTATGGTACTTATAAGGGCATTTGTTTGGTACTTATAATGTCATATGTATGGTACATATAAGGTCATATGTATGATACTTATAAGGTCATATGTATGGTACATATATAGTCATATGTATGGTACTTATAAGGACATTTATATGGTACGTATAAGGTCATATGTATAGTACTTATAAGGTCATTTCTATGGTACTTATAAGGTCATATGTATGGTACATATATAGTCATATGTATGGTACTTATAAGGACATTTGTATGGATACTTATAAGGTCATATGTATGGTACATATATAGTCATATGTATGGTACTTATAAGGTCATTTGTATGGTACTTATAAGGTCATATGTATGGTACATATATAGTCACATGTATGGTACTTATAAGGAGATAAGTAAGACATTGTATGTCTCACAATGTCCAACGCAATGTCAGGGAAGATTTCCTGAGACCTGGAACTTTAAGAACAAGAGGTCATAGATATAAACTAGCTAAACACAGATGCCGAAGAAATATAAGAAAAATCACTTTCGCAAACAGAGTGGTAGACGGTTGGAACAAGTTAGGTGAGAAGGTGGTGGAGGCCAAGACCATCAGTAGTTTCAAAGCGTTATATGACAGAGTGCTGGGAAGACGGGACACCACGAGCGTAGCTCTCATCCTGTAACTACACTTAGGTAATTACAAAATAATTAAATCAAAATTTATGAAAATTCAATTTATCAATGCAATCGGAAACATTGAAATGGAATTCGTAGCACATTTAGTATAGTGTGTGTGTTGCTATTATATGCAACAGATGGCGGCGCTTTTTTGAAAAAAAATTGTCACAGGTGTGGCATCTATATAGTAGATTTATAAAAGCATGCGCATATTCGAATGGAACATTGTGTCAAAATTTCAAAGTAATCGGTGAAGCACTTTGGGAGATTACATCGTGTGTTACTGTTATGTCAAACAGATAGCTGTTTAAAAAAAAAAAAAAAAAAAAAAAAGGTGTTTTTTTCCTGTCACAGGTGAGGCATGTATATAGTAGGTATATAAAAACACGCGCCTATTCAAATACAACGTTGTGTCAAAATTTCAAAGCAATCAGTAAAGAGGTTTCCAAGATTTCTCTCACTTGAAACAGTTAAAAAAAAAAAAAATTCCATCACAGACGTGACATCAATATAGTATGTATATAAAAACCCACTCGGATGTGGATGGAACATTGTCTGAAAATTTCAAAGCAATTGGTGAAAAACTGAGATTAGCAATTTTGAACAAACGAACATTTCCATTTTTATGTACAGTATAAAGATTTTCAATAACTTTGCTACCATTTCATTTAGTTTCCCCCACTACTGACTCCCATAAATAATGAAATTAAATATTTTCTTATCCATCTTATCTTTTTTCTTTAATTATCGACTTCCAACACCACTACAGCCGTACGCCAGGCACTTACTGCGTTTTTCTGCTGAAACTACATGTACCTTCTGCTCACATCAGAGTACTTTTTCTATATCATCTTTAACCCTTCGTATCCACTTTTGATAATCTATTTCTATATCCTCACACCATCAAAACTTGCTATTTGATTGTTCACATTCCTCATCAATGATGTCACGCATCATATGTTAAGAACACTCTACGGTACTATCCGCTGTTTGTTTCTTCAGTTATGTGAAGCCAATATAAAATAAAAACTACAAGACTTAAATGTATTTCCTTTGTAAAGTCTATTTTTGTATGAAAATGGCACTTGAGATGATTAAGCAATGGGTTGGAATACGCCTCTGTCTGGTATTTTATAATTAATTATACTAAAATATAACCCTTCATGCACATTTACATATTTCAGGAAACTAAAATACTATTTAATAAATATAAAATTGTATTTACAATAATATGAAAGATGTACATTACAATTTTTATCGTGGTCAGATTATTTATTCCCTAAACTTTCAATACAACTTACTTTTCATTGCTATAAACAAAACTCCTAAGAGATTAGAACAAGAATATGACTGACCTCCACATTTATATGCTATAAGTATACCATATTCACAATGTTAGCAAAAACACTCTTTCTCGTCAAGTAAATTTTTTTGTATAAAATGTTGTCAGCCAATTACAATTTTGTATAAAGTTATTATTGTAGTTTAACTGAAGCTTTGTAATCTATCTGGCCATAGATATTTGAGAACTTTTCTCAAATACGGAAAGATCAAGAGTGAAAGACTGTTCGGCACATGCTAAATTTATCATTTAAATTATTGCTAAATTATGTTTGTTCAATATTCCTGTAATATTAAGTTTGGTGAAGCCATTAATTAATGTACAGGAGAGTACTTTTAAAAGTTAAATATTTAGGTAATGCATTTCCATCTTGGTAACATTTGTTAAGCCACATTTCCTTTCTCAGTTGTCAAGATGGCTCCTCCATGCTGTGACACAGTTTCTCTCATATGTTCAAACCACAAGGAAATTGTTGTATTTTGCTTAAGATCATGAAAAGCTTCACAGCCTTCAACAGCAGTCAATACCCCATATACTGCAAGGTCCGAGAGATTGGGATGGTCTCCACCCATGAATTTTGTGCCTTTCTTTTTCAGAGCTTCCAGCCAAACGTTGGTTTCTTCATAAAATGATTGCCTCACATCATCTTTCAACTGATGTCTGAAAACATTGCAAGTCATTAATATTTACGACTAATGTGTGTCACATTAAGGTTAGATCTAATGTGTGCCACAAATAAACAAGAACAGAATGTATGCCTTTACAGTTATTTGCAAATGCTGCTTTAATCAGCAAATTGGAGCTATATACAAGGAATGATTGGCTATTGGTGAAGTGATGAAAAAAATAATATATACACAAATGGACATATCACTTACATCAATCATTATTACAGAATAGTATCTAGTACATATGAGGCTATGCGAGTCATCTTAAAAGCTACAAAGCCCATGAGAAGTCAGAATGAGAGCAGAGTTGAAATGGCCCACCATAAGGGAGAACTTTGTCCATCAGCACGAAGGCATCACGTAGATCTAAACACCATATGAAATTTCAAATTAACCCTTGGACAGCAGTTGTCAACAATTGTTGATTCACAGGGTAATGCAGTTATCATAAGATTTAAAAAATTATTATCTGGGTTTTACATGTATGATGCAAATATGGATATAATAGGTCCATGTGGAAGTAATGAGTTTACCTTGACCCACAAAAAAAATCGTGGTGCAAATGTAAATGTAGTCATCATTATATGATGATTTAATTGTTTAGGTTTTACATGTATGATGCAAATATGGATATAAAAGCCCTGTGGATGTAAATAAAGACAAATAAGTGATAAAACAATCGCAGGATAAGTAAGTAAGTAATTATCAAAAGAAGGCACCAAACCGGGAAGGCTATGTAGCACCATCAAATACGCAAAATAATCAGAGGGCGCTAAATATCACCAAGGATGCCAATACGAGAACAAAAACGCATAAGGCGAACGATATCAAAAGTATCCGAGTCACCAAGAATTCTATCGAGGGACAGGTGACCGCGAGGGGCGGTCGGAAAGCAAGACACACGCTCGTCCTGGAAGTCAGGACATTCAAGAAGGACATGCACGACCGTAAGAGGGACAATGCAACTAGGACAATAAGGAGCAGGGCGGCGCTCCATCAAGTGACCATGGGTTAAGCGAGTATGGCCAATACGCAACCTCGCCAGAGCTGTTTCCCACCGCCGGTTACGGTGGATGGAGGACGGCCACGAGGAAACACAACATTTAAGAGTACGTAGCTTGTTACCAGTAACAGACAACCAAGAAGCCTGCCAACGGGTAAGGACTGAGGAATGGATAACCGGGTAAAAGTGGGAATACGGAATGCCTTTACGAGAGATGGGACAAGAGCGGACAGCTTCCTTAGCGGCAGCATCCGCACGCTCATTTAAAGACACGCCAATATGGCTGGGAACCCAACAAAACTCAACCGACTTAAATTTACTGTGAACGAGAAACAGCCAATGCTGGATCTCGACAACTACCGGATGAACTGGATTAAAGCACCCGAGAGCCATGAGGGCACTACGAGAGTCAACAACAACCACAAAGGAAGACTGACAACGAGAAAGCAGGAGACGAAGAGCATAGAGAATAGCATAAAGTTCCGCTGTAAAGATGCTAGTCTCCGGAGGCAAGCGACACATATAAGTGCGATCAGGAAAAACAACAGAGTAGCCAACACCGTCCGCTGACTTAGACCCATCGGTGAAGACAGAAACGGAGCGGGAGTGAGAAGAAAAGTGCTCGAGGAAAAGGCGTTTTAGAACTGTAGGAGGGGTAAAAGCTTTAGTGATACGAGTCAAGGATGTACAAAACCGCGGAAGAGGGACCCTATACGGGGGCAAAGAAGGAACAACACGAGAAGAAACATCAGAAATACGAACGGAAAGAGAATCCTGTAGGCGAGATAACCGGACAGAAAGAGGGAGGTGGTGAAGAGGAACAGGAACCGCAGGAGGGGTAAAAGTTAAAGCACGACAGAGGCGAGAGGAAGGATGTTGCAAGGACCGCGCAAGATAGCGAAGACAGTAGCGATCACGGCGGTCCTGGAGAGACAGGAAGCCAGTGTCAACATACAAGCTAAGGACGGGAGTCGAACGAAAGGCACCAGAACTGAGGCGCAACCCAGTATGGTGCAAAGCATCAAGACGGCGAAGAGTAGAAGGAGAAGCAGACGAGTAAGCAGGGCAACCATAATCGAGCTTAGACAGGACGAGAGAGGAATGTAAAGCAAGGAGAGTGCGCCTATCTGCCCCCAAGAAGTATGGGACAAGACCCGAAGGAGGGTAAGGGACTTAGAGCACTCAACACGGAGGTAAGAGATATGGGGAGACCAAGACAAACGAGTGTCAAGGAATAACCCCAAAAGCTTCGCGGAATCTTTGTATTCAAGGGGATGACCATAAAGTGACAAAGAGGGACGAAGAACAACCCGTTTCCGCGTAAAAGTCATGGCACAAGTCTTAGAAGTAGAGAACTTGAAGCCATGACCTGTGGCCCAAGACGACACGGCATCAATCGCAAGTTGAAGCCGGCGTTGAAGGAGAGGCGAATCATCACCCTGACAACAAAGGGTAAGATCATCGACATAGAGAGCAGAGAAGACACCAGAAGGAAGAGAGGAAAGAAGACCATTGAGGGCAACCAGAAAAAGAGTAGTGCTCAGAACACTACCCTGGGGCACACCTTCGTATTGCTGAAAAGAGGGAGAGAGAGCGGTACCAAGGCGCACCCGAAAGGAACGACGAGAGAGGAAGCTGCGGAGAAAGAGAGGGAGATGACCACGAAGGCCAAAAGAATGAAGTTGAGATAGGATATGATAACGCCAAGTGGTGTCGTAAGCCTTTTCTAGGTCAAAAAGGACGGCAACAACGGAGGTCTTCGCAGCAAAAGCAGTACGTATATAGACCTCCAAGTTCACCAGGACATCTGTCGTGCTGCGGCACTTGCGGAAACCAAATTGAGAAGGGGAGAGGAGGTGATGGTGTTCCAGGAACCACATCAGACGAACGTTAACCATACGTTCAAAGAGTTTGCAGACACAACTTGTGAGAGCAATAGGGCGAAAGTCCTTAGGGGAAGTACCCAGAGACCCCGGTTTGCGAACAGGGAGGACAACGGCATCGAGCCAGTCCTCAGGGACTGACGACGACTCCCAGATCCGATTATACAGACTCAGTAAATACTGAGACGTGCTCGGAGGGAGATGGCGAAGCATCTCATAATGAATACCATCGGAGCCCGCCGCCGTAGAACCGCAGAGGGCCAGGGCAGAACGAAGTTCAGAGAGAGAGAAGGGATCATTATAGGGAAGCTGAAGATGAGTGCAGAAATCTAAAGGACGAGACTCAAGGACAGGTTTACGAAGAAGGAAAGATTGGGGAAGATGAAGACCAGAGCTAACAGAAGAAAAGTGGGAACCCAGTTCGGAAGCGACCTGCAACGGGTCCGCCACAAGAGTATCATGGAGGTGAAGGACCGGTGAAACATCGGGAACGAACTTACCCGCTATCTTGCGGATACGCTTCCAGATCTGGGCCAGAGGGGTTTCGGACGTAATTGTCGAGACATAAGATGCCCAACATTCACGTTTAGCCGTACGGATGGCCCTACGGGCCACCGCACTCGCTTTCCGAAAGAAAAGAAAAGAATCGGTCGTCTGCCTACGGCGGTGCTTCTTCCAGGCTGCACGCTTACAGCGGACAGCCCGAGCACAGTCCGCATTCCACCAGGGAACGCACTTCCGTGGACCCCGAGAGGAAGAGCGAGGAATAGAGCGGAGGGCAGCGTCGAAGACAGTGTCATGAAAAAGGAGGAGAGCGCGAGAGAGGGGCAGAAGGGAGAGGTCAGAGAGAGTAGCACTGAGGGAAAATAGGGTCCAGTCCGCCTTAGCAAACTGCCACCTAGGGAAACAGAGGGAAGGGCGAAAAGAGAAAAAGGAAACAAGGATGGGGAAATGATCACTTCCATGGAGGTCATCAAGAACCTGCCATGTGAAATCTAAGTAAAGAGAAGAAGAGCAGAGAGAAAGATCAAGACAAGAAAGGGTGCGAGTTCGAGAGTCCAAATGAGTGGGCTCACCAGAATTCAGAAGAGACAGGGAAGAAGAGAGGAGAAACGGCTCAAGGAGGCGACCCCGGGTATTCGTCAGAACGTCACCCCAAAGAGAATGACGACAATTGAAGTCACCCAGCAGGAGCACAGGCTCCGGCAAGGAGTCTAGGAGGTGTTTCAAATCAGGAAGAGAGAGCGGGACACTCGGGGGAGATAAATGGAACAAACTGTGTACCATTTCCCCACAAAGATACGAGCAGCAGAACAATGGAGAGGCGAAGGAGAAAGTAAAGGAACAAAGGGAACATCAGCCCGAATCAAGAGAGCAGAAGAATTAGAAGCCCCAGCAATGGCTGGGGGGGGGGGAGAGAAAGGAATAGCCACGAAAACGACCAGGACGAGCACCAAGCATCGGCTCCTGGAGACAGACACAAAGGGGCGAAAACCGCGAAACCAGAAGTTGGAGTTCGAGGAAATTGGCGTAATAACCTCGAACGTTCCATTGAAGAATGGACAACGACGAGAAGAGAAAGGACAAAAACAGAGAACAAGGAAGAAACAAAGGCGAAAGACCAACAGAGCACGTTAAAGAATATCAGGGTCGGGATCAGGGTCAGCAAAGTCAGGGTTAGGGGGCATGGGTAAACTGAGCAAAGACGGAGGGAAGGAAACGGGAGAACAGATCAGAGGTGGGCGGGCAGGGTCCGGAGGAGGAGGAGGAGGAGACAACGGAGAGGAGCAGTCAAGGACAGCAGCAGGAAGAGGGGGAGTAGAAAGAGAGGAGCGCACCCCAGCAAGAGCAGCAACCGAAAGGGAAGCAGGGGCCAAAGAAACCTCCATAGCAGGAACAGGGGGCGCAAGCACTGAAACGGGAGGGGAAGGAGCAACAGAGCCAGAAGGAGGAGCTGAGGAAGAAAGCGAAGCCTTCTTACCCGCCGGGGAAGAGGAAGGAGAGGAGCCAGGCTTACGCTTCTGACTTAAAGAGACCGGTGTCCCAGCAACTACGTACCGGGCAACGGATTCCAGTGTCTCAACAGGAGAAGCCGAACGAGAGCACACACGACGGCCGTTAGGAGAGCGATGGACATCCGCCCGCACCGACAGGCGGCGGGGAGAGCCGATAGATGGAGGAAGAGGATGGGAAGGAGGATCGGAGGGGGACGAGGAAGAAGACACAGAAGACACGACAGACCGGGTAGAAGGAAGGGGAACCCCAGACAGAGGACCAGGAGGAGGATCCTTCGGGAGAGAACCCAAAGGGACAGAGGAGGGGGCAGTGGGCGCATCAGGGTCCAAGGCCTGGAAACGGTTATGAGTCTGAGGAAGGCGGGAAGGACGAGGAGAGGAAGAGCGCAACACGCGAGCATAAGAGATATTAGCATAAGGCGGGAGCCGGCGAACCTGGCGCCTCGCCTCAGGAAAAGATAAACGCTCCCGGTGCTTCAAGTTGAGGACGGCTGCCTCAAGCTTGTAATGGACACACGAACGGGAGAAGGTAGGATGGGCCTCACCGCAGTTGAGGCAACGAGCCTGGGGAGAAGCGCACTCCGACTTAGAGTGACCTTCGCCACCACACAAAGGACAGAGAGAGACAGTCCCGGAGCAGCGGAGGGCACCATGCCCAAACCTCCAGCACTTGTTGCAGAGCCGAGGAGAAGGAATGTACTCCTGGACAGAGCACCTGGCACCAGCAAGAATGACAGAGGGTGGAAGGGTCCTACCATCAAAGGTAATCTTCACAACCAGGAGGGGTTGACGGCGACTACCACGAGGGGGACGAGTAAACGTGTCCACCTGGAGAATAGAATGGCCCTGGGCAGCGAGGATATGTCGAATATCGTCGTGGCAGTCGCATAGGTCCCGAACACCGGTCGCAACATGGGGCGGGAGCAAAATAGTGCCAACACTGGCATTCAACTGAACGTTCTTCGAGACCCGAACGGGGGTCTCGCCAAGGCAGGATAAGGCAGCCAAGCGGGAAGCAGCATCCTGAGAAGGAGCAGCAACGACACGTGTACCGAGACGAGTGAGGTTGAAAGTAATGGAGGCATCCACGGAATCAATGAGATGTCGATGGAGGGAGAAATCGTCCGGAGGCGCAGAATCAAGAGGGAGGAGATCAAAATATTTGGCCCACGAAGCGGGACCAAACAAGGCTTGATAGGTAGCAGAACTGGAAGGAATCGAGCGAGGGCGGCCATGACGAAGACGGCGGTGAGAACCCCCAGAGAGAGAGGGGTTAAAAGGCGCAGTAGTTACAACTAGAGAAGGAGCCACGCCAGGGGACGAGGTAGTCACCACTGGGGGCTTGGGGCTCGACCCAACCACAGAGGAGGGAGGGGAGCCAGAGGAAGGAGTCAGAGAGGCCAAAGGAGGAGCAAGGTCGGGGCCCAATGCAGCGGAGGCTACAGAGCCCGGTCTTCCAATACGGACCGACTCGGGGGCTTGGTCGCCCACCCCACGAGCCTGAGAAGGTAAACCAGAAGAAGCCGAAGCAGGGGTAATCATCTTGACGAAAGAAAGAATTCACTCACGAATGTGCCCCCACACCCACCATGGAGCCACAATTAGAGGCAGGACACCCAACAAGAAGCTATCGCCGATCTTGTCGGGGCCTCCTAGGGGTGCGTCGCGAGTATACGCCCCACAAACGCCACCTTAAGAAACCGACAGTCCGTCGAGATCGGGTTCAGTGACGAAGTGGGGATTGACAATAAAAGGTTCCCCTCGCTCTCGACGTCGGGTACTGCAGTTCTACGGGTGCATGAGTATGCCTCCTCAAGCACCCGGGCGTCAAAATAGAAGAAGTCCAAGGGAAGAACCAGAACGAGCAAAAGGTCGGTAGGAAACGGCAAGCAGATAGGAGAAGAGGGGGGAGAAAAACGAAACAGAAGGAAAAGGAAAAGATGCCCAGCAGAATTGGAGAGGACGGCAGCAGGAGCACAAGGCTAGAAAAGGACAGAGGACTGTCCCAAGGAGCATCACACTCCGGCAGCCGCCCACGAAGCCCCCACACGGCGACAACGAGCTGAGCGGGGAGGGGGAATCGCAGGATAAAAACATGAAGCATTGGCAAAAGTCGAGCACCTGGAACTGATGAGTGCCAGATGCAGACTTACAGAGCATCTCCACCCAGTACTGTATAACAATAAATATTTACTAATTTGTTACTTTTTCTTACATTTTGCATATAAATTAATTCTATAATGAAAAATTATTTCTTGGAATTCTTATATTTTTTGTGCATAGGCAGGTATGGTCATTTTTCTCCATTTCCGTTGTCTAAGGGGTTAAGTTGTCTCACATGACTCGACTGATGAGGCCATAGAAGAAGAAACTTTCATTACACATTTTGGTTTATAAGGTAGTGAAAGCCATCAAACTGCATGTGGTCATTGCAAGAGTATCCAGCACCACACACCTGTGAGATCCCACATGCCCAGCCACATGTGGTAGTCTTGAGACAGGATTGCCATTACTACCGTGTTTGATGCCTAAGCCATGTTACAGACGAGCAAAGAGGATCCCTCACTTGACTAGTCTACTCCAGTTTGGTACGCATTGCTCTCATAATTTATTGAATTTTGATAACAAATGGCATATGACAAGCCATATGCAATTTGGTGATGTTACACACAATTGCAGTCAGTGAAAGCAAATATTCCACAAGAAAAGGAGCGGGAAGAGAGAAAACACGAGTGTTCGAGGAAGTGGGGGATTGAGTGTGAACAATGCACAGGATGTTGTAAGGAAGAAGGCTGGGTGCAATATGTTTGCGCAGATAGAGTGAATGTTTTAGTTTGCACTGTATGTGATAATTCACGAGGAGCACTGTGCCTTATGAAGTGATAGAGTGCAGAAGTATGGTGGTGCTTGTTTATCTGTAATGCTATATTCTGTTGTGTGAACGATAAAATGTATGAATTATATTTTCCCCTTTCAATATATCTATAACCTTCTTTCATTATATTATTCACTTTTTTTATTTGGATTCATACCTCTGCTTCATGAAAATAGAGACACAGGGTAGTGATAATTAATAGATGGATAAATGTAGAGGGCATAGAGCCATCTGGATGTGGATATAGCTAAAAGTTGACTTCATTTCCATACATTTTTGCAGTTTATTATTGTACACTAAAACAACAAGTTGTTGTGCAAGTCAACTAATAGGCCTAGATACTGTAGAAACCCATTATAATTAAATAATGTGCAGATATAGACCTATTCCATTACTAAACTTGCAAATGAAAATATCAACTAAGATACAAGAGCTAGAATGTAATGGGAAGGCATTTAAAAGCCTGGGTGAAAAAAACAACAACGTGGGGAATGGTTTCAATGAAGTATAATAAGATAAATGAACTAGAAAGTATATTAAGAAAGGTTGCCTGAGACATTATTGTTGATGCCACCCTAATTTGTGAATCAAAACAAAGTTTAAATAAATCTGTTGATAGCACATTACCTTCTTTTTAAATTTTTGCCAATAAAAAACATGGCAACTGCACCAACATAGATAACTAGTAGCCGTTCCCATGTTGCAAAGTGCTCCTCCCAACTGCCAACCTGCATCATGAGAAAAATAAAAACACACTTAGTTATAGTATAAGTACCTGTACATAAACTAAGTGTTGAGCACAAATTATTAACCCTTAAACTGTGCACCACATCAATAGCTGTGGTGAGTAACTGTCGCAGAATTGCACACCACAGCTATTGATGTGTTGGAGTACCGTGCAAGATTTAAATGTCCCAAGGCTACACGGGGTTTACATCAGCTTCCTCAGGGCTCTTGTAAACAGATGCCATTTAAAAAAAAAATTGTGGCAACATTCCCACGTGTGAGAGCCTCAGTACTGGGCGAGTAATAAAAGCTGGCAGACGCAGCATGAGCTAACAGCACTGCTGTTCAGCTTGTGACCACAGCATCGCTTAAAAAATGTAAAAAATATATATGAAACTGGTAATATTTATGATGATAGTATTACAGAAGACCCCTGACTGATAAAAATGACCAGAATTCTGATAATAGCAGGATTTTTGTGATAATCAGTGCTGTGCATAGTATGGTGGGAACAGTAATGCTGAGTGAGGGAGGGAAGTAGCTTCGTCTGCTGACTCTGTGTGGCCACCTGTTATTGTCTAGAATCACCATATCAGCTTAGTGGTTCGCTATGGTGAATACAAACGTAGATACTTATATATAACGTGAGTATATATAAGGGAGCCGGTCGGCAGAGCGGACAGCACGCTGGACTTGTGATCCTGTGGTCCTGGGTTCGATCCCAGGCACCGGCGAGAAACAATGAGCAGAGTTTCTTTCACCCTGTGCACCTGTTACCTAGCAGTAAAATAGGTACCTGGGAGTTAGTCAGCTGTCACGGGCTGCTTCCTGGGGGTGGAGGCCTGGTCAAGGACCGGGCCGCAGGGACACTAAAAGCCCCAAAATCATCGAGATATACTGTAATAACAGCACAAACAATATGGTGGGAGAAATCTTAGTGAGGGAGGGAGGGAGGCAGCATTGGCTGACTTTGTGTTGTGACTTCTGTTATTGTCTGAACTCACCATACCAGCTTAGTTGTACAGTTATGGTGAACAAAACATGTAGATACTTATATACTGTATAATGTGTGCATATAGTGTAATAACACCACAAAGAGTATAGGTGGAGGAGGACTGTTAGTGTGTCTGGCCTTGAAAGAGTGAGTGAGGGAGGGAGGCAACGTTGGCCAACTGTGTGTGGCGACCTCTGTTATGTCTGAACTCGCTATACCAGCTTAGTTGCGCAGGTATGGTGAACAAAACATGTAGATACTTATATATAACATCTGTATATAGTGAATAAAAGTAAAAACAGTATGGTGGGAGGAGGAATATTGGCAAGTGAGCAGTTGTTGAAGGAGGGAAGGAGGGAAGGAGGTGGCAGTGGCTGGCTGATGTGTGTTGGCTTCTCCTCAGTGTTTTAACACCATACCACCTTAGTGGTTCGTTTGGCAAACAAAACATGCAGATACTTATATATAACACGTGTATACAATGTAATAACAGCAAAACTATTTGTTTATTGTTCTATGAACATAATAATTGAATCACTAATATGCACACCATAATTTTGAGTATAGCGATGATTCACACATTCTATAAATATATCACACACTCACTATTGAATAATATTAATGCAAAAAGCCTAAGGAAAAATCAGTGAGAGACATGGAAATAATTAGGTAATGTCATCTTTGTGGCAACTCCCGCCCGACAGCCCTGGCGGAGCTGACCGCCTCCGACAATTGCTCTGTCAATGCCTCAATTTTGCCAGACTTCCTCGCCCTATTGTGGCCAAAATATGTCACCTACAATTTATTTTTTATTTTTCCCATGGTCTGGGATTGCAAATGATCACTTTTATAGATTTTTTTATTTTTATTATTTTTTCTTGCACCTGGGCATGTTGCAGGCTATAATCACAAGAGCAGCCCAGGGGTTAAACGGCCCAAATGACATTCATTTCTATGATTAATGACTGCACTGCGCAACGCACCTTTACGCGCCCAATGTGCCTTTACGTGCTCAATGTGTAGTGCGCAACGTGCCTTTAGGCGCTCAATGGGTGGTGCGCAACATGTCTTTAGGTGCTCAATGGGTTGTGCGCAACATGCCTTTAGGCGCTCAATAAGTGTTGCACAACGCGCCTCGGGGATCTTCTAGTTACTAGTATAGCATACAATTTAAAACTGGCGCACAGTGACACTGGTACGAAATGAATGTCTGAGGGCCCTAGTGATCGTCTGCCATTTTGAAAAAAAAAAATCCCAGCATGCCCCAGGGTTGTGGGGAGCCTCAGTTTCAAGGAAACAGTCATGTTTGACGCATCGTCTACGAGCTCCCACTCCACTGTCAAGGAAATAGACTCTGAGGAGGAAATACGTGACATATTGTATGATGATGGAGTGATGGATGATGATTTAGACTACGCTCCAGAGAAAGACCTAACACAGAGGTCTGACACGAGTGAAGGGGAGAATGAGATGGAGGGGGGTTGCGAGTGTGTACAGTACACGTGCCTCACCCGGCATGCCTTGCCGCCCCGGATCAACACTGCTAAAGTCACCACCACGTTGTGTCCTCTGATGCGAATTTATTTAGTGATAGTACATGTGATGAATCATTCTCGGGCTTCAGTGACATAAGCTCCAATACAAGCAGTGCTGACGAAACGAGTATGAGCAGCGATGGTGTTACTAGGTGGGGTTTTGCTGCCCCAGCAACACGCCGAGGCAAGTGGCAGCGTGTCACGCAGCCAGAGGACAATAACGACAGTGTTCCCTCGACATCAGGTGTTCATGGTATGCCTACACTACACAGAATACATTCATCTCCTGGCATACCTATATGCAGCTCTAGCACAAGACAACGGAGCCGTATTTTTGGTGCTCGTGGTGGTGTTAGCGACAAAACCAAATCCACAGGTGTACTTGTGTGGGAGGATTGTGAGACTTCTGTCCCACAAATTCCAACATTTGATGGTACCGATGTTGGTGTGACACTGTTATTCCCCTATACAGGTGATGATATGGCTGAAATAGACTATTTTATAGCATATTTTGATAAGGAATTCATGGACCATCTTGTTGCAGATGAACAGATATGCTCACAGCCTCATTGACCTTGGCAGCCTCATGCAAGAGGCATTTTACCTGCCTCTTGCATGACACGATGGAAAGACATGACAAATGAGGAAATGTACGTATTTTTAGCGTTGAGCATGATGATGAAACATTCTGAAAAAATGTGATCCAGGATTATTGGAGCAAAGACAGCCTTGTTCCATTCCCCGTGTTCAACAGGTATATGTCACGTGATAGGTTCCTGTTGCTTCTCAGGTGCCTGCACTTTGAGAACAATGATAATGAAGACAGGACAGACTTTGGAAGGTGCAGAAGATTTTTAGTGATGAGACGAAAGTTCCGTGACTATTTTGCACCAGGACAGAATGTGGTGACTGATGAATCGCTAGTTCTCTTTAAGGGACGACTGACATTCAAGCAGTACATCTCATCAAAGCGTCACCAGTTTGGACTAAAGTTTTTCGCGCTATGTGACTGCGAAACTGGTATTGTCGTGGACATAATACTGTATTTAGGTACAGACATTGACATACCAGCTCAAGATCCACACGGGTTCTCCGGCAGTGTTGTCGACACACTCATGAAACTGTTGCTGAACAAGGGGCATATCCTGTCTACTATACCAGCCCCTTGTTGACCAGATTCCTCCTTGACCACAACACCAGCGTATGAGCACTGTCAAGGCCCACAGGAGGGAAATACCAGTATTTGGCATTGGTATTGCAGTGGGTGATTGCCAGCTGCGAAAGTGTGACAATATCTTATCAGTGCACTGGAGGGACAGACACGAGGTGAATATGTTGACAACTATTCACACCGGTGCCATGTTGGACAGTGGCAAGGTATACAGTACCAGCATATTTTTCCAATTGAAGAAAAATGTTCACACTGAAAGGAAGCACAGCATTACAAATATTTTCTTAATGAAATTATTTCTGGATGACTAAGACCTAATAGTAATCAATATCAACTATTTAGTGTTCAATTTACTTCAGTAAAATTCCTTGTGTGAATTAACAGGTTAGCCATCAAACTGCTATGTTTTCTAATTTATCACCATACATATTAGTATATTACTGTTAAATCCACTTACTTTAGAAAACCATTCAAATGCTTGGAATGCTTCCTTGGGAGTACGATAAACATTAGGGGAAAGAACATGTACAAATACATCATCCACCCATTTCCTCCACTTGCGTTCTTCTCTGCAAAAAAAAAAAATAAAATAAAAAATAAAAATAAAAAAAGCACTGAATGTAATGAAATTCCAGTTTCTAGACGAATCCCCGTGGCTCCCTGAAGTTACAATGCTGATACAGTGCCAAACTATTAAGTGCCATCACTCGCAGAGTTCTTGTAGGCCTACCGAGGACCATGAGCCAGAACACGTCTCCCTCTAAAGCAGTGCAGAGAGCAGTGGCACTACAATCAAACTGTCAGTGAATTTTAATCATGTCTGCCAGTGGAAAAGCACCCACAAAATTAGCAAGAAAAAACACACCACTGCTGGTTATCGATGTCTCAAACAACCAAAGAAAAAAAATACCACCACCAATGTAAAGAAACGATTCCTCCCCTCGTTTTGGGGGGCAGACTGGGTCAGCCGGCTGCTCAACTCTCAGTTCTACGATGATGGGAAAAACCAGCCCCGACTGTCTGGGAAAAGGAGGGTGTCAGGGAGCCTCCGGGGCTCACCCAGAAACTGGCATTTATTACATTCATATTCAATGCTGATTTTCTGGGGAAGTCCTTTGCGGCTCCATGAAACTACCTACCCACAGAGAAGAAATACAAGGGAACTCACTAAGGAGGAGGGAGCACCGCAGGTACAGTATTCACAAAGGAGAAACCACGGGCCATAACACACAACCCAAGGCCACACAAGGCCAACAAGGCATAATAATATGCAAGAGAACCTGGGTGCCATGACCCAGTCTGACTGCCAAAAACACCGCACCCATATAACTGCCCAAATATACAGGCAAAAACAACTGAGAGAACGGCAAATAAATGAATGGCATGGGCACGAGGGAAGACCTCGGGCTGGCCAGATTGAAGAACACTGCAGACAACCAGAGAAATATGAGCCCTGAGAAGAGGGACCAGGTAAACCAGAGCAACCAACGAGTCCACCAAAGCAGAAGTGGTGGCACGAAAGTAGCGGCAAAGAACAAGATGCACCCCTGGCCTAACCAGCCAAGCATCAACCACCAATCAACCCCTCTGAAAGCCAACCAACTCATTCTTTGCCAGAAATGAAGGAGCCAACAGCAGATGAACAAAACAACTCCCTGGGCTAAAGGACAAAAACCCTGGTGCTGAAGGAAAGCATGAAGCTCACCCACCTGACAACCAGAGGCAGGGGGGAACAAAAACAAAGCCATATAAAAAACCAGCGTTGAATGTAATGAAACGCCATTTTCTGGGTGAGACCCGGAGGCTCCCCGGAGCTTACTAGGCTGATATGCCAATGTCAGACTTTGGCATCAGTCACATGTATGGAGTTCTTTGGGCCTACCGGGAATCACAAGCCAGAACCTGGCCCCCCTCAGAAGAAGCAAGGGGAGCAATGGCCTATAGAAACCTCTGTGTGGTTAGAAGCATTCTATGTCTCCCATCGACCGGGTCAGGCATCCAGAAAGGTAAGCATCCCAAAACAAACCCCTATTCTGGTGAAAATATTGCTACCAAAAGCCGAACAATTGGATAGAGCTAAACAAAGCGAGCAAACGATAATGACTTCACACATCGCCGCGCCGTTGTATGAGCAGCTTCCCCCTTCTCAGGAGGGGGAAGAGGGAGCCCCAGACCCCACGCTGGCAATCCCCATTTCAGTTCTTAGGCTGGATGTCAAAACACGTGAAAAACCGCCGACCGGAGGGAGGGAGGCATGCCGGGGAGCCTCTGGGTCTCACCCAGAAAATGGCATTTCATTACATTCAACGCTGGTTTTCTGGGGGGAGCCCCTTCAGCTCCCTGGAGCTAACTACCCAGAAGAAAAAATAGGAACTCACCCAGGAGGCAGTTGCTGCTCACTCCTCAATTAAAAGTCGAGACAACTGGCTGCAACCACAGACCTAAAGCGACACAGGCCCGACTAGGCCCTTGGACGTTCACAAGGTAACGAGCAGCCAGGACCCTGTTCGACCACCAAAAACCCCGTGCCCGAATACCAGCCCCAGGACATGCTGCCAAAGACGGCAGCAAGAGCAGCGAACTTACGAACGCCATGGGTACGGGGATAGACTGCAGGCTATCTAGCCTTAACTCTGCGGACGACCTGGGAGACCCGCACCCACGAACAGGGAAGAAGGGAAACCGGATCAACCCAAAGCGCGTCCTCGGGCACAGAAGCCATGGCGCGCAAATAACAGCGAAGAGCCACAACCGGACACAAAACATGATGCACCCCCGGCCTAACCAACCAAGCATCCTCAACTCAGGGACCCCTCCAGAAAGCAGCAGTCTCATTCTTTGCCAGAAAAGAAGGAGACGGCTGCAAATGAACAAAACCATCACGAAGACCGAAAGAGCAGAAACCCCTGCGCTGGAGGAGAGCATGAAGCTCACAAACCCGACCCCCAGAACAATCCTAAACCGAAAGGGCCACAACAAACTGAGGAGAAGAACGATAAGAGAGCACTATGTCCAATGTCAGGATGGCTCAGGCGGCGCACGAGCAGGCCGGATGTGAAACAACGCCCAAGACAGCTTGCGAAACAGCGCAGATGTAACATCTATACCGAAAGCAAGCTGAAGCGGCTCCGCCAGTGCCGCGCAATACGAGGTGACAGTGTTAGGCATATACTATACAAAGGTCTACTGCAATCAGCATAGCCGCTGACTAAGAAACCTGAACACAGAGCTGCAACATCCCTATGTCCTTCGGGAGAGCAGGGCAAACAGGCAAAAATGGAGAGGTGCAAAGAAAACCTGTCCACAAAGAAACCTTGCACCACTCAAGTGAGTGGCCAACTTTCAGAGAAAAACAAAAGTATGTCTGTCGGCCAAGACAACACCGGCACCTCATAACACATTAGATGAGCAACATGTGGAGGACAAGTCCCACATGACTTAGGGTCAAAGGTGTCACTGACCCAGCAGGTAGCATGACGGAGGCAGACAGGTTTGAACAACGCCATGTGGTACAGACAATGCACAACCCTAGAACTTGCTCAAGGCGAGTGGAGGTTCAGCTGGGATATCACATAGACCACCAAACTTATGGTTTTTTACGGTTTGCAGGGAATGGCACTGCAGGAATCCAAGGCACTGGAATCACCAAGCTGGAAATCCAATTAGGAAATGGGTCCTGCAGCTTTTTTTATTGGCAAGACAAGAAGCCTTATTTCAGAATGAAAGTGGAAGGGAAGAGTCTGATAGACCCCGAACAGGTATAAGCAGATCAACCTGGCTCACCTGAGGCTGAGAAAGCCAACCTCGGCATGCAGCAAGTGCAGGTCGCTTGAATCCCAGTGTACCTCACCAGTCAAAACTCGCTCCCGACTTCAGTGAAGACAGAAGGCAAAAAACAAATACTTACCCTGGGTGAGAGCAAACACAAGTGAGGAAGTTATTGTTCTGCATTATTTCGTTATTTCCTTATAACCAACTGGTCTGTTTTGTCTCACTGGCTTTGTGGGTGCTTACCCTGTGGTGGTGGACATGCTTAAAATTCACTGACAATTTATTATAGTGCCACTGCTCTCTACACCTCTTCAGAGAGGGGCCATGTTATGCTCGGGGTCCCAAGTAGTCCTAAAAAACTTTGCCACTGATGGCACCTAGTAGTTTGGCAATGAATCAGCATTGTAGCTTCAGAGAGCCACAAGGAAAAGATCCACCCTCAGAAAAGAAAAAACAGCACTTGTACTGTATCTATATCTGATCAACCTGTCCTCTTAAAAAGAACGTAGCTTTTGGCCGTTTGCCCGAATATGGACGTAATTTGAAAATGAAAAAAAAAAAAAATTAACATAAATTTGGGATTTTTTTTTTCAACAACAGTAAGTTAAGGGTCCTCTGATAGGTTAGGTGGGCAGGAAATTCTCATAAAGTTTCAAAACGGTATGAAAAACATTAATGGAAAGAATCCTCTTCTCAGCTTGCCGAGTAAGCCAGACGACTCAAACAGAAAACGGAACAGTACGTCACTTTTGTGAGTCGATTTCATTTCAAATTATGTCCAAATTTGGCCATAGTGCGCATATGAGCGAAAAGTGACGTTATTTTTAAGAGGACAGGTTGATCTGATAACTTATCTTTGAAAACTGTAGTTTTTAATTGAGATTCTTCCTTGCAAATTTTAAACACTTTCAAGTGCTGGCTGCTGAAGGAGAACATGTATTATCATATTAGTCATGTTGTCACCTATATACAATGAGAATAAAAGTGTTAACATGTAGTTACATTAGAGAACATATTGCAAACAACAAATAAGAAAGCAGCAGACAGTAAACTAGAAACAAAGAACTAAATAATTTGACACCAGTAAACACTACAAATGCTATGTGCTCACCAAACTGCCTAATTGTGCTAAGTAGGTTGAGCATCTATGGTACCACTTCTCAACCTTCAATCCATTAGTGTTTAGGTGTCGAAGCCTACTAGACATCTTCATTTTAAACTGCATATACAGTGCCTCCACCACTTCACGTCTTAAAGCATTGTATTTGTCCACTACTCAGACCCAGAAAAATTCTATTGTGTGTCTAACTTATTTTGGCACTTGGTTTACATTTGAGTCTCTTTTTTGTCAAATGCCCATTTGAAATAACCTGTCCTGTCTGCCTTGTCAATTCCCCAAGAAATTTGTATCTGGTAATCATGTCTTCCATAACTCTTCCAGCAATATAAGGTCCAATGTCAGTAGTTTTTCAGTACAACTCATACCTCTCAGTTTTGGACTACATAGTCATATATTCCAAGATTGATCTGACAAGGTACAGGAGTACCTCGGTTTAAGAATTTAATCCATTCCTGGAGACGGTTCGTAACTCGAAAATTCATAAACTGAAGCAAATTTCCCCATAAGAAATAATGGGAAATGAATTAATCCATTCCTGCCTCCCAAAAACTTCACCTCAAAGCAAATTTTATACCTAATTCACCCAAATCTTCACTACAAAAGTATGTTCAAGTTATTACTTACCCTTGCTGATGACTCCTGTTGGCATATGGAAGATAGTAAGGAGGGGAGAGGAGG